GTGTGTGTGTGTGTGTGTGTGTGTGCGTGTGTGTGCGTGTGTGTATGTGCGTGTGTGTGTGTGTGTGTGTGTGTGTGTGTATGTCTGCGTGTGTGTATGTATGTCTGTCAGTCGGACGTCCGTCGGTCACTAGTGCCTGTAGCCTTACCCACCTGTACTCTAGCCTCGCGCGCGCGCGTGTGTGTGTGTGTGTCTGTCTGTGTGTGTTAAGTCCTGTGCCTAAGCCTTACCTGTACTCTAGCCTCGCTCACGTTGACTCTCCTGGCCAGCTCCCCCCGTACGAAGGCGTCCGGGTAGTGTGTGTGTGTTTGTGTGTGTGTGTGTGTACGCGTGTATCTAACCCTGTTCCTAAGCCTCACCTGTACTCTTGCCTCGCTCAGGTTGACTCTCCTGGCCAGCTCCTCCCGTACGAAGGCGTCCGGGTAGTGTGTCCGCTCGAACACCTTCTCCAGCGCCTGGAGCTGCTGACTCGTGAACGTCGTTCTGTTTCTGCGCTGTTTCCTCTTCTTCTTCTTAGACTCGGAGTCTCTGTCGTCTGCAGAAACAAAGTCAAGCACAATCATGACAGTTCATCTATGTTACATGTCGAAAGTTAAAACTCAAGTTACAGTGACCAATTAAAGTCAAGTTACAGTGACCAATTAACGTCAGTTCGTTTAAAACTTTAATTGGCATCGCAAAAAGGCTACTTTGGTAGTTATTGGCCAATCAAAGAGATAATGACATTTTGGGCCCCGTGACTGCTTTCCTCGATATTGCATCTCAATTAACATCTCGTGTTCAGGTGTGGTTACGATATTCAAATTGGAGATAGCTCTTAGGTCTGTCCCATTAAACCATGACACCTTCCACAAATACTGAAACATAGGAAACTATAGGGGATATACTAGTATGCAAGATTTAGAGCAGATGTCTTTGCCTTTGGCCGAGGTGTTCCACCGGTGGCATAATGCGGCTGCCTTTGTTTCTCGCCAGAGTTAGGGATAAACTAACATGAATTCTATATATCGCCACCAAACTCTTTGTCCATGTCTAGGAATATATGAGCAAAAATTCGGGCAGATGTTCCAAGCCGACTACCGGTGGCATAATGCGGCTGCCTTTGTCTCTCGCCAGGGTTAGGTATAAAGATACAACATAGAATAATATATCGCCACCAAACTTTCTATCAGCGCATATAATCAGTGAAAATAAATAACTCTCTCTTTTTCCATGCTTAGGAATATACGAGCAAAAAAATCGGACAGATGTTCCAAGCAGACTATTGGTGGCATAATGCGGCAGCTTTTGTCTCTCGCCAGGGTCGTTAGGGATAAAGGTACAATAGAGACTAACACATGATCACCAGCAAACTTTCTATCAACGTTATTTATTTTCACAGTGAAAATAGATAACTCCATGTCTAGGAATATATGAGCAAAAATTCGGGCAGATATTCCAAGGCGACTACCGGTGGCATAATGCGGCTGCTTTAGTCTCTCGCCGGCGGCTGAAGAAGCTCTCACACGTGCGCCGCACATGTACATCCTAAGCTTCAAATTGTTCGGCATTACAGAGAGGAAAACAATTCCTGACCTGGTGACCTTGAGGCTGAAGGTCACTGCTGAATTTCGGTTTAAAATACCTGAGGATACTGAAAATAGTACTTAAAAATTACATTCACATGGCGTTATCAGGGCACATTTGAGAAAGAACGAGTCTAACGCAGTCGCAGACCCAATACTCCCGAAGTGCAAATGTTTGAAGTCGCTTGAAAATGTTTAGCCTTTGTTGGCGATTACCTTTTGCTTGCGGTCAAGGTTGAATTTCCTTTAATGAGCTTAGAAATGTGCTATCTCATCTAAGTTCAACAGGTAATAGTCTACTAATTTCTAGGCAATGGTCAATGACAGAAGCAAAGAGAGAAAGATCTTCCGCTTTCCAAGACTGAGAAATGTGCCAATTTAATTTATTAATTTATCTTTGACCAATGGCTGCCTCGGATTGGGAACAAACGTACCGTGTCTCAAATCCGGATTAGGGACTGTTAACATGTTGTATTATGGATAATTAATGGCTGACTATGGACCATGGATCTACTATTCATTAAGTCTGCATTAATGGCCGTCCCGGATCGACAACCATGTCGTTTCTCAAATCCAGATTAAGGATCTATGACCATTTAAGTTCATTAAGTTTAGTAAGATACCCTTAAGCCATTTTTTCAGATCTAGGGCTATTCTATGGTGGATTAATCGCTAAGCAGAACCCAATGATCTAAAATCTATTAAGCCTGCATTTATCGCCGTCCTGGCCCGACAACCGTGCCGTTTCTCAAATCCAGATTAAGGATCTTTGACCGTTTAAGTTCATTAAGTCTATTAAGATACTCTTAAGCCCCTTTTTTCAGATCTAGGGCTGTTCTATGGTGGATTAATCGCTAAGCAGAACCCAAGGATCTAAAATCTATTAAGTCTACATCTATCGCCGTCCCGGCCCGACAACTGTGCCGTTTCTCAAGCCTCACATCCTCCGGTTGTGACTGGAGTCAGACAAACGGCGTGCGGAGCAGGAAATAGGGCGATGTTTCCCCCGCGGTTCGCATTGCTGCCTTCCCGGGAGTCCCGCCGCCCCGCCCCGAGAGACCCTCGCTGCCAGCCCGGCCACAAGCGCGACTCATAATTGCGGAATTAAGAATCGCCCCGCGGCAGAGCCGGGTCGCCAGGGTCAAGTTGAAGAACGGCGGGGCAGGGCAAATCCTCGCAGTAATTTACCGGTGTCGGGTGAGGAATGTCCCCTCTAAATGATAATTGATGGACATGCCCAACGTTTCTGGGTGACGGACAGAGAATGCGAGGCAATCTGGATAGGAGCGGAGCCAGGAGAGATGAAAAATTGGTCTTAGTTCAAGCCTGGTGGTTGAAAACAACTACGCACAAAACACATCCCGAAACAAAACTCAGCAGCAAATCTATGAGAAACCTGCGATCGGGGGATTCAATTGTTTTAAAAGAGAGTATCCATCAAAGATATGTATACAATTGTTTTTGTTAAACTGAATCGATTGGAATAGGTGTGTCGTTTATCCATTTTCTGCTGCCTCTGGTTAGGTTTGGTTTTCTTTTTGCTTATTTTCGGACGATCGTTTTTAAATTTGTAGTAATCTACCGAAGATGTGAGTAGTTAAACGATCCCACAGGACTGAAACCTCGAAGGAAATTTCCGGTATTGTGTTTCCACCTTTAACTATACTAAAACAACAACCTGGTTGCAAGAAGGAATTTATACCAACTACTGTATGAAAGTGTGTAAGAAATTTTACCTTTTTTACATTTCACCAGTAGTTTTAAAAGGAAGATGTTGGACCTCCATGTACATGATCGTAAATGATCGTAGTAGTCGTTTTTAACATGTTTATGTCCAAGTTTGTTATCGTGTGTGATGCAACAACCACCTGTTCCTGGACCGACAGGATGGACTAGTTCTAAACGGGTCTTTTGATTCATCTAGTAAAAGCCAAGTGAATTGTAGTGAACGACCCCGCTTGAGTGGAGTTATGTACGCTCCACGCCAGCCATATCAGCTCAAAACGCGTCACTGCCGGTTGCGGGGTGTCATTTCGGCATAGCTGGCATCGCCGGCATTTCCCGCCAAGACTACCGGGCACGGAGGCAGCCGTCAGGCCCGCAGCGTGACGTGGGTCATTTCTCATCAACTCTCGCGAGACCGGTCCGCGTGACGTGGGCAATTTCTCATCGATTCTCGCGAGAGTTGGCGCGCATGGTTCGCGTCAGCATCTGGTGGCCGTAAGTCGGATAATGAACGAGGATTATCGCCCCAGATATGAAACCTCGCGGCGAGTTAGATCGGAATTAGATTTGGGACGACATTTGTGAGCAGTTCTGTCTGGTTGTTGGAGAAGGCATTGGCCTGGCGAGACGATAAAAATGTGAAAAGCACTTGACCCTGACCTTCAGGAGTTTTAAGACGATTTTATTGATGCACCAGGGTACAGATTTGACATTGAATAAAATCAATTTACTGAGCATCTTACAATGCAAATTAAGGTACAAATCACAAATTTAGTCAATGAAACAATGACCTTGAAAATGACCTTCAGTTTAGAACCAACATTTCCAAGATGGACGACGTGATATTTTATAGCGCGAGGTCATTGCCTAATCACTTTATCACCTTCCTTGGGCCATGGACGATTTATATAGAAGTGTTTACAAGCACAGTGGGGCCGTTAATACACAAAGACACTCCATGCATGCGTCCAAATTTTAAGTACTTCGCTCTATTTATCAGACGGCCGAAGGGAGAAATTAATATGGCACAGTTAGGGATACTTGACACCGATAGGGCGTGATTTTCTGCACAGGAAATCGGCTCTAATAGTGACAAGTTAGACTTATCTAGAGGTCTAGGAAGAGTTATTGTGAAAATGGAGCATAATGGCGAGCTAGCCCCTTTTTAGCAAAACAGTAGGTTCCAAGTAAAATTGTACAATGTCATACTGAATATTGCAGCTATTGCGTTTTCCAATAACTGCATTATATTGTTTGTCGGGAATTTCTGGTCTGTTGTCTCATATGGTAACCTGTTCTGTTCGTCAAGTTATTGTATAATTCTATCAGAAATAAAGTGGGATCTTTCATCCTTCACTAGTTTCAGAAAAAGAAGGGGTACTAGACTAGAGACCCCCTACACTTTCAGACCCCCTCTCCTTCCCCACCAGTCCTGACAGCACAGGCTAGGTTTTCGCTCAGGCCGTGCCTTGCGAGCAGACCTGGCTAGCTCCACCCCGAGGGGGCGGGGTATGCTTAAGACCCCTTATACTTCTAGACTCCCCCTCTCCCTCCTCGTAAGATGTCCTACCACCACATGTTCCTATGGCAATGCTGGTCCGGCCCAAGAAAGGGG